TAATTTCGATTGAGATTCTGATCGTGATTGCAAAATGCAGAAGTGAGCCGTTCATGGTTGAGAAACACGAATCAAATTAAAAGAGCCTGTATGGCACTACTCAAGCCTCATACAGCTGCACAATCGGTAGTGTTACATAAACAAGTGTTCGATGCCTAGGTATGTAGTATGTGCGGTTTGCACCCCGCAGGTTTTCCTGCTTATGGGTGCTTCATTTTTAGGCGTAAAATGACACCCTTGTAAGCAACTAACAAACTAGTATCAATCCCTTTCACAGATAAAAAATAGATAAACACCGGTTTTGTTTTTACTGTAACTGGAAAGTAAGCGAATTTCTAGGGGGGAGGGGGGACTTCATCCATATAGGGTGACAGCAAAAAAATAGCTAAAAAAGTGCCGACTTCTTTTAGTGTATAAAAATATTGTACAACAACATAATTTACTGTTTGAGACTTACATATATGATTGAAGAAAGGTGACTGTGGTGTATTTAAAAAACGCACTAAATGACATTAAACATGTGGACAAATGTTGTACGCACGAATGTATGTTCAGAGAGCTGGGCACACTCATTTTTAGGCCCTCGACCACCATGGCCGTACCAAAATTTTTAAAACAATTTAGTAGAAGTTTGTCAGACTCTTTGCGCCCACGGCACGAGTAGTCTGAACCCGAGCCTACGGGATAACGACGCGTATTCCAAAGGGTCCCAATCAGTCAACTCAGTGGACTGGGGACTGTCACCACCTATTAAACATCGTACAGTGACTGGATGCATTGGCCGCCTAGTTTGTTTATCATATTTATATGCGCAATAGCTCGAGGTAACCACATTCGTGACATCACCTCGAATTCGGTCCATGAAAATAATGCTGACTCTGTTCTACGGACTGGAGTTAAAATTACACCGATTTGACCCGAAGTGAAAATGGTGGAAAATATTACTTAGCCCTTAACTGTCCTGTTTCAATTCGACGGAGTGCTGTACAACTATCTTTATGTGGATTCACACGTGAAGATACGCATGCAAATATCACTTTTATGTGCACGAGGTGTTAATTCCTATTGGCATGCTTGTCGAGAGCCACATCCAAGAGGTTCGACACCGATTTTGTCATATATATAGCTAACTTTTGACAAACACACCTTCGATTAATACTCATGCATGCAGTTTGTTTAGAATTTTGCATGAGCTGCAGTCGCAATCTAAGCCGCGATTCTTTAGGTTCTCTTCCACAACATGCTTAATTTCCAAGATTGAAAATAAAAGATATATGCCTTAGTTGTTTTAAACTGAATGTTATATGCACTCATTCATTTATTTGCATTCACTTTCCTCAGTACGTAACCTGAAGCAACGTGTCATTTGCATGCAGCATTCGGGCAAAAGTCAATAATTTTCCCTAGGATTTATCAAGAAATTCATGTGTCGCAATGTTTCACAATGAAATTTTAATGTACATATGCTGGCACAGATTTACATGACTATTCGTACTTGTACTGCATAATTCTTATCAACTAGTGCAGTGGTGTTATGCACTTATTATTTTAATTATTGGGTATATATGTACTATAAATCATGTTAAAATATATGTGTAAATCAGTTTGATTTATCAGAGTATTCTTTTATTTATACATAGTCTATCAAGGTTTTTGCATATATGCGTGCACTTTTTTCCCCCTGCACATATGTTACCAGTTATGCTCTAATTATTTTTTGATAATGTTACCTACTCATTCTCTAGTTGACCAATAAGCCCTGCTCGCTTATAAGTGTACATATAAATTAATAAAATGGCAGTCATTATTTAGGCACTGAAATAGGTGCACGCAAACGCAAAAGATATCTTAATTCAAACTCAAAATAAACTTCTCTTATCCAGATAGAAAACGGGGATGGAGCTACAGATATTCTCACAATCATAAAATACATTCGTGGTCGTTATACACATATCCACACATATGGGGAAGGGACGAAGACAACGTAGTGTTTATTTGGCTTCACTGCAGCACGAAAAATGTCACACGGTGAAGCATATTTGCTTTGCGGTAAAGCATGCTTGCTGTGAGCATAACGAGAGCGACACTTCCTGATGTATTCAACTTGTAAAAGCTTCTTGCGCAAGCTCCCACTAAGTTTGAAAAGCGCGATTGAATGTGGACAGAAGAGAACACACACATACACCTGCACAGAATAAACATCCTTAGTGTACGATCATTGATCGAAGGTGTGTCTATAAAAAATCTAGCTATATATGTAACGGAAGGTATTGGACCTCTTGGGTTGCTCATGGCAAGCAGACTAATAGGAATTAATACCTCTTGCATATCAAATTGATATCTCCATGTGCTTTTACAGGTGTGAATGCACACACAAATGCACGGATTGTAACATGACAATTCAGGGCTAAGTAACGCACATGTTTTCGTTTCCACCGTTTTCAACTCTGGCAACAATGGCGCAGTTTTGACTCGAACGAGTAGACCAGAGTCAACATTATCTCTAGATACCGAATTCGTGGTGACATGACGTGGTTATCTCAAGCTATCGCGCATACAAGTATGATAAACAAACTAGCCCGCTAATGCACTTCAGCTGCTTCAGCTCACACGCTTTGCGTCCAGTACGTAGTTTGGTGCATATCTTTCATCAGGCATTCAGAACCGCTTCTCATCTGACAATCTAAGTCGTGCAGTATCTATTGTCATGTTTGTTTATGATGGTACGCCATTTTATGAGAAAAGTAGCCATATCAGCTGTTTAAAGAAGAAACTCCTAAATCAAGTAGACTTGCGCACATAAAACCAAGTTCACTCGATCACACGTATACTAATATGGATTATGGCCATCGCGACCACCAATAATCTTACCATCAGTGGAACTGAACTAGCATTACCGCGGAGGCTTGGATTGGGAGCTAGCACAGTAATGAAAACTGTGTTTGTGCGTGTAGTACACGCTAATAGTCTACAAAAACCTAGAAGTTTCTCGAAAATTCTGGCGCTGCTTGCGCCGATCAATTTTTCATCGGTCCAACCCGATCTTATAAAAGTTAGAAATAAGCGAGGGTGGAATATCACCACTGCTGTATACAACCAAATCTCTTTCATTGACTCATCAACTTTTATACACCGGCTGGAAAAATCAACCATAAACATAAGTTATACAGTAAACTCGTCTGTTATACCTAATACAGTTGTGATAGTCACGTTGGTTTCACAACATGATGCTGTTAATTATCGTCTGTACGTATTCCTTGCACAACTTGTTTCATTTGCAGTACAAGTACATCTTGCAACAATATATATGTCCGGGTGCAATGTGCATAGTGCATCTTGGGTTCTCTCGAGAGAACTCAATATGTACTAAGCATGAAGTTTATGTACCTCCAATTAAAAAAAAAACTTGGTTCCCTGATTCATGAACTGCAATGACCTTTGTTGTGCAGTGACGATGCACATGTATGTGCACTGCACGGTAAGCGATATATGTGACCATACTTAAAATCATCTGCAGTACGATAGCTAAACAGTACTAATTCACTGTAAGTCAGATTCTTTCAGAAAGGTTTATTTCAAGTTTTTAAAAAATTAAATACCTAGAATTTGAAAGACATTTCTTTTTTTGTCTAGCTTTGATGATTGATATGTGGGGTTTAACGCCCCGAAACCACCATATGATTATGAAAGACGCCATAGTGAAGGGCTCCGGAAATTTTGACCACCTGGGGTTCTTTAACGTGCTCCAAAATCTAAGAACACGAGCCTACAACATTTCCGCCTCCATCGGAAATGCAGCCGCCACAGCTGGGATTTAATCTCATGACCTGCGGGTCAGCAGCCGAGTACTTTAGCCACTAGATCACCGCGGCGGGGCTCTGTCTAGCTTTAGAATTGTTTGCATATGCTTTTATAACTTTTTGGCAAAAGTGGCATACTTAATTATACCAGAAGTAATTGGCTCTAAAAGGAATGACTTCCATAGTTTTTGTGAAGCACTTGTTTGAAATGTGCTTGGTGGCACTTGCTCAGTGCATGCAGGTGTGGAATACTACTTTTTTTAGGAGGGAATAACAGCGCTGTCGATGAAATAGAGAGAAGGCAATGGGACACACATGCTGTGTCTGTAATTTTCACCCAACCTTTTCTTCATTTAGTGTTGATCAATGTTGTCCTCATAAATGCATGGCTTAATCAAGTCCATGCAAATGCAGCCTAATAATTGAGACACTTAATCAATGTGACCCAGCAAACATTGCCCTAACCTGACGCAGCATGTTTTGGCTCTATTACGAGTCACAAGATTGCTTGGCAGAGACACATGCTAAAGAATGACTGGTATATAAATCATAACAAGAGGAAATAACTACAATGAGGACAGCATAGGTGCAACATTGCTTGTATTGTAACCTTGGTCTTTGGTTTTATCCGGTTCCCTGTTGAAACAACCACATATGCTCTGTTCTTTATTAAAAAAAAATGCAATTAGCAATTAGTCATCAAATTCATACTTATTCCTGGGACATACTTATACTGTAGAGAAGAAAGTGATTCACTTTGCCGTGTTTCATACATCGTTACAGCAGTAAAGGGGCAATGCATACACCCCTGGCATCAACAAAGCCATAGAGGAAACCAGGGTATGAATATTGCTTTATTTTAAACACAGAAAATTGTGATATCTTATTACCTATGGGTGCTAGGTCTTCGAAATTCTTTGTCCTTTCTTCTCCAGCTTTAACATTGCTGTCGTGCTTTTAACTTCCTGCAAGAGTGGTATACTCATTTCATGTTTTTTTTGTTATAGAACCTAGACATACCAGAGTGAAGCTTCTGCCCCTATTCTTAACTCTGAAATCAATAACTCCATCACTTATTGTGTGGAGCACTTTTTCGCAATGTTCTTAGTAGCACACACTCAGCGTGTACTATACATTTATTTTAGGGTGGAATCGTGCAGCACTGTAAATAAATGAGAGAGAAGGCAACAGATACATGGGTCTGCCATTTTCACTTTATCTTTTAAATATGGTGCTATTTGATTTATTTCTCATAAAGAAACTGCATGGCATAATTCAGTCTTGGCAAATGCAGTGCAGTCCCATCTTGAAGCAGGCTACTGTACATAATTTTTGTAGAGCAGGCAGTGCTGCAAAAAAATAAAATAAAAGTTGATTCATGTGTGGCATCAAAAAACCACACAGGAAACAGAGTTATGAATATCAGTTTATTTTAAGGTGCACAAGAATGTCATTCTACTTTGGTCCTGACAGGTAAGAGATCGAGGAAACCAACTTTTTTTATACACAAGAAAACAGCGAGCTCAGTGCTTGCTGCCCTACTTAAAGGTGCGTGGCTCAGTCTGTTGCAAGCGCGATGAAGCAACACTCTCAACTGCCAGGCGAGGAGACGCTCTGCAAATCAAACGCGAAACTTCACAACTTGAGTTCGGCTGTAAGCATGTTTTGCGCTGTTCCTGTGCTGGAAGCTTATGCTGATGTCGTGTGAAACGTTAAGGAGACCTTCCTCGACAGTCGGGAATGTCTGCAGCACGTGCATTGCAGACTACGGAAGCAGCCTCGTCAGGTATGTACTATTGCGATTGAAAGAAACATGAACAGCCGAAAGCGTTGCTTTCGACTCAGTCAAATTGCGGTGTGCCTTGGCTGTAACAAGGCAGAATTTGTGCTGTAAGCCGGCGTCAACGTAGCATTAGAACCTGGTTCCAACTTAGCTCATGCACCGCATGTGTATCAATCGCCAGTCCTGCTGGCCACTCGGAACACACACGTGGTGCAAAAGGGCCAACCAGAACAGGATTTTAAAATGCTAGGGTGACGCCGGCCGAAAGCACATGTAGATTCGCCTAGTGACAGTTAAGACATGTCGCAGTTCGACAGGGTCGTAAGTGATGCTTTCCACGCCATTCACGCATCGCGATAGTAGGCCCTTATGGTTGTACTAAACATGCGCGGTGCATGCATCCATGCGTGAGTCGTAATACGTATACCCTACATGCGGCCTGCGAAAGAGTACGGCAATAGTTTTGTGCCTCATACTACAGGCATACTCCGCACAAATCGCTGCTATAAAGTGAAACAGCTGGAGTCACGCTTGAATAAACACAATAAGTTTACTTACTCGTACACTTCACAGGGCTCGTAGTTTTTCCTGCTGATTGCGATTATATCCTAAGGCGGTAGAGCTCGGCGTTTTTCGTTGTAGACGGAAATTTGTGCAATCGCAAAACACCGCACCGACACGATTCCCGCAATGCGCTGTGAACTTCACAGGCAGTGCTCAGCAATCTCTTCCTCTTGTGCTGGTTGTTGTCGCATCACATGACAGCGCAGTGTCTTTTTTTCTCTTTACCTTTTTTTTCTATTTGTCTTTACCCTTCCTTTGCTAAATATGCTTTTATACTCGGATGGTGCACACACACTTATCAAGACCAAATTGGAAGATCATTTAGAACATAGTAAAAGATTGTGCATGTGACAACCTTTCCCATATTTCAAGAGTGGAGCTGTTTAAGCAGAGCAGTGGTGTGTGATGGGAGAACAGAAATAACTATCATCATGAATGGGCACATGCTCTCTTTGGCCTCTTGTTCATCTTTGTCCTGCTGTGCTTCGCTCCCAGTACACATGCGCCGATACGTCCGACATGGGATGCATTAATGAGCGCAAAAAAAACTAAATGTTGGCAAGAAAAAATTCTCAATGAGACGGCATTCGAATCTATGTACTGACAATCCAAAAAAAAAAAAAAAACGAGTCGGTTATACAGGCACGCTAGCAGAATTTAATATATTATAGCTTTTTTTTTTTAGTGTGCAAGGAGGTTGGAAAGATAAGTGAGAGTGAGGAACAGGGAAAAAGGTGGGGAGAGAGCAAGGTGTCGCATAGAAAAAATGAGAAAGAAACAGAATCAAAAAGTGAGGGAGAAAGGTGAAAAAAGAGAAATAGAATGGAATCTAAAATAAAGAAAAAAATAAATTGTAAGAAAGAATACAGAAATAACAGATAAAAAGAAAAAGAGGAAGAAAAAAGACTAATACCAAAAATAAAGAGGGCTATTCAGTATCACTTATTTGAGGCTTGGCACCACTATTGCAAATCTGCCTCGATTTTTTTGTCACATTGTTATCATGTGAGAACAACACTCGGCACTGGCTGCGGATCAGAGGCCTGAAACACGTGTCCCGCCGACCTTTCTTGAGTAACCAAGCCTGTACAAAACACTCCGAAGCTGATACTTGTACTCTAATTAAAAAGTCGGTTTTCTATTTGAGGCTGACTGACGAGGCCCTGCGATTTTCACCCAACTTGGCTTGGATCTGGGCATCGTGGAACATTGCTGCTTTTTCTCAAAGTTTACAAGGCCGGTTCAGGCAACCTATAGAAGCTTTTCTGTTGATGAAGGCACATCGGGTGTATTTTTTGCGTGTTTGTGGTCGGCTCGGTGTTCACGTCGTTGGCGCACACTGTGATTGTGTTTGTCGTTGTAATATGCTTTGTGAACGTGAATAGTTAGATTGTGTTCGCATTTGGAACAGCTGAATTTTGTTGTTCGCCTGAGCTTTGGTGAAGGCCACGATGTCTAGGACTCGTCAAACTGTTTCAGTGCTCTTTGACATCCGTGATATTTACTTCTGTTGTGTGTGCGGTGGTGATGGTGTGGTAGTCCGTACGTGTTGCCAGTTTTGCTGGATGTGCTTGTAGTTTTGCGGTTTGCGCGGCCGTTCGGCAACCTTTTTGGATTCTTGCGCTTGTACGTCGTATACTTTATTTTACAAGTGTAGTAGCACTGAACTCGTATTATAGCTGAGCTGTTAAAAGCGTGGCACTTTAGCCCATACATCATTCTGAAAAGCTGCCGACCATCTCTGATTTCAAAGTACAGGTATCAGATGTAATTTCGGTGGCTATCCGGTCCAAGTTACCTGATTACGTTAGATGCGGAGATGAGTCAATCACGGTCCAGAAATTTACTTTCAATGGAAAATGCCCATGTGACACCCGCAAGCTCAATCAAGCCTCGCTATTCGCTTCCATGGCTGCACAAGCGACGAAAAAACATTCGACTGAGCGTGTGACTAGCACCTCACAGTTTCTGCGCATGGAGCAACATATGTGGCTGCGGGCTAGGTGGTATTTCTTACTTCAAACTGCTTAGCGCTAAACACAGCAGCACAAGTGAGACGAGAATTAGCGCCGACATCCAATTGAAATTTATCTAAACTCCCAACTGTGTTACCTACACCAGAGATAAGAACATGCTTATGCTAAAAACAAAAAAATCGAAGTGAAGCATAAAATCACAGAGACAAAAAAAAACGATGTTATATGCATTACCGAGTGCGGCGGCACCGGAAATGGTTATATGCACTACGATGCATGCAGCGCCACGTCGAGAAAGCGGTTGCGGTTGGAAACTGTGGCACCAGTGTAAAGGTGTTCTGTAAAAGCACGCTGAGGCAGCTGACAAGACATGACGCACACGTGGATATTTAGAGATTTATACACACTGTAACGGGTGCTTAAAGCTACGAGATGAGTGCTTGTCTCGTGTGCCTTCTGTCCTTGTCCCAAGTTCCTAAATGCTGAAAATTGACGAACGGGGCTCGACTTGCTCGGTGATATAGGCTAGGGCGCCCGTGACGATAACCCCGCCGTTCGCTCAGAGCGACCTGCAAACTCGCCGTCGGCGGAATGTAGCGTCGGTACCGCTAATTACTAGTAACGTTCACAAGTAACGTTTGCATAACTACTAACGTGTCGCAAGTTTTACTCGCGTAGCTGTCTTAGATTAAAAGGATTAACTTATAGCCAGTAATTTACACTATATATCGCTCCATTTATCTTGCTGGTGTGTAACACGACCGTGACCTTCAAATTTCCCAGTAATATAATGTTAACAGCCCAGCAAGCCCGCAAAAAATTGTCAATCTCTGGAATTACACTTGAGGAAGTACAAGTCGCGTTAGCGAACTCACGCTTCAACTTCGCCGCTGCCGATGAGAGATGCACGTTGACTACGTCGACTGACTTGGTTGATTTCTTAACAAAGTATTTATAATCACTTCAAACGAAGAAACACATTTTAAAGAGCTGTAAAAGACTGAAATCTCTCTCACATTTTTATCGTCACGGTTCTACTACGAGTGTCCACATGGGCACTTGATATGACACCAAGGCGAGGTTTCCACGAGCGAAGGTCAGAACAAAATGCAGGCTAATGCAAGCGGTGGCAAGCTATCACATGTGCTGGTAACCCGAAAAACTTTCGCCGTAGTGTGCTAGGTTACGTTCTTGTACCCGCGCCAACGTAAGATCTCCAGATAATTCTGCGGGTACATTACGCCGCCACGTCGGTCTAGGTGGTGGTGGCCGGACGCCTGAAGCCAGTGGCCGGATTCTCGTAGCCGGCGTCACAACGCCTCGCCGAGCAAGTATAGCCCGGTTTGTTGATATGTTCGCATTTGAAAAACATGTTAGGCAAAAACTTGGTGTGGTCAGGGCTGAATGTAAAAGTATACAAGTGTTAAGTTTACTCGGCTTGTTGAATGTGCGAACTCGGGACAAACACAAATGAAGACGAGCGCTCGCTTGCGTAGCTTCAAGCACCACTTACAGTAGCGAGGTGTTGATCTTTCGTAGTGCGTGTAAATATCTACGTGTGCATCATCTGCTGTTGGCTGCCTCGACGCGCTTCGGAGCAGGATTCCGACTGCAAGCACTTTCTCGACATAGCACTGCATTCATCGTCGAGCATATAACCACTTCCGATACCATCGCACTCCATAGTGCATATAATATTGTGCTTGTATAACCGACTGGTTGTTTTTGGATTGTCAGTACATAGATTCGAATGCGGTCTCATTGAGAATTTTTTTTTTTTGCCAACATTTTATTCTTTTTGCACTCATTAATGCATCCCATGCCGGACGTATCGGCGCATGTAAACTGGGAGCGAAGCGCAGCAGGACAAAGATGAACAAGAGGACAAAGAGAGCATGTGCCCGTTTATGATGATAGTTATTTATATTCTCCCATCGCAAACCACTGCTCAGAATAAACAGCTACACTCTTAATATATGAAAAAAGTTGTCACATGCCCAATCTTTTACTATGTTCCAAATGATCTTCCATTTTGGTTCTAAGTGTGTGTGTGCCATCCGAGTATCAAAGCACTTTTTAGTGAAATAAAGGTATTTTGACCGTTTGGATCTATTCATCTATCTAGCTGCCTATGTCTGGGTGCTCGGGTGATCACCTCTTTTACTAGTACGTACCAAAACTGGCATATGAGTGTATGACAAATATGACATGCGTCATGGCTTGAATGACATGAAATACCTGTCGCGTAGATCATGAAACCCTTTCCCATACACATCTGGTGCATACCCATGACCCATGAAATCTGCGCGTGTCCTGCAGGTTATAAGCCCAAAGTAAGGCTTTATTCTCAAGTATCACTAAAACAGACATTGGAAATTTTACCACGATAATTTTAAAAAGCTTATATAAAAAAATTCATTGCCTGTTATTAATTAATGACAATGCCAGAGATTAAAATATTTCTAGACCATACAGAATAAAAATCACAGTTAAAGCCAAAAGTGAACTTAGGCTTTTGTGAAGTAGCCAATTTTTCAACCCCAGAGCCACACGACTGCTTCAAGTTGCATCCACCAGGGTGGATCAGGGGGCTAAGGTGCTCGCCTTCCGACCCAAGGTTCGGGAGTTTGATCTCGGCCACGGTAGTCACATCTCTACAACTTGTTTACAATGCAACAAGCGAGTACACCTACAAAGAGTTGTTATTGTTATTGATGAAGTGTTAGCCACAACGAGCTGGTTCAGGCAGAAACCCGGCAAGCATGAACCAAACGAACGTTGTCTTTTTTCACGCTGGCACATAGCTGGCGCCGTGTTGCTCCGGTACATATTATTCCCTTTGCAAGAGGGTACTTAATACACGAATTCAGTGTCTTACAATGTCTCAATTCCGAAAGCTTGATTACCACATGTATTCAACTTTAAAGGAAAGATTTTTGTCGTGCTTCACCTTGCTGCAGGGAGCAGGAGAAGGTGCATTGTCATTCATACTATGGTATACACTGTATTCTATCACAGATAGATTTATTGTCCTCTTGTATATCAAGTTGTCTCCAATGCACCCAAAAAACACTCGTACATTTAAAGCCTCACATGCTGGGTGCCTTGTCTAGAACTGCATTCTTGCTATGGCAAAGGGGCTAAGA